TGTGCCCCCTTATTCGCGAGCTAAGTCCTCGCCTGTTCTGCCCTATATAATGGCAAGCACGGTCGTAGAATGGCACTTTATAAACAACACCAGACTGCTCACCTGCCTCCAGGGGGTCTTTCATTTGCATGATCTACAAGCGAATGATAGCTGTCGGACGATAAGCAATACCCACACCAAGCTCCGCAGCGGTACGTCCCGTTGCTTCTGACACACTCTTTATGTACGGTAGAGGGTATCAGCGGGTTAGTGGCTCTCCTCCGTTTGTTCTTCGTGGACGCGTACGGCGGCAGCGGCTGACGAAGCTATTTGCGTATCCATTCCTTGCAAGTTGGTCCTGGAGATGCCGTAGTTCTCGCACTCGTCCCTCGGGTTTACTGCAATGTGTTTTACCCTCTGAAAGAGTGCTGTCATACAGCCGCGTTTATGCGTCGTTAGGTAGTTGCCATGGAAGTTTTCTGTATGGCTACTAGAAACTGGGAGCGTTGATTCGACTTTACAGGCTGTTTTTTTTGCGCCAACTATTGAACTCCAGACTACAATCACCGCTGATTTGTGGACTTCATGCCTACGTAAGTAAACAGAACTTGAAGAGTTAAATCGAGCTCATTTGTCACATGTGAGTGGTGCTCACCGTTCGACCCTGGTTACAAGTCACAACAAAAGTGCCGGTTGTGCGGTTGAGTTCCTACCTAGAACCTGCTTAGGTAATGTCATAAGTAGGAGCTATCTATAATCAGAAAGTATTACCCACGCAACTCTGATTAGTCCACTTTATCCTTTTAAACCCTAGAATGCTCCAAATTCCCTTGCCGGACTCGAGCAAGTAAGGCAGCTGCCGGGATTGTATTCACACCCCATCGATAATATAGTCCCAATATAATTTTATATCAAACTTTTCCCCAACTCACAGCAATTTCTCTCCGGCCAAAGTTTCCGCAACGATGTAGACACTTTCACTGAATCAGAACATTAGAACGCCATTAAGATAATTTTAAAACTCGAGCAAAGTCTTAGAACCGTAAAATCAAATGGTTTTTGTATCACACATTAAAAGCTGGTTTTTAAAAGCGATTGCAGTTTTTTTGACTCAGTCTTAAGCGTTTGAGTGGCTTTGCTTACCGTCAGACGTTGCTCCCGTATACAGTGTTCCCACTTTAACCGCCGTAAGGCGTAACCACCTCTGGAAAAAAAGTCATACTGGAGCAATAAAGGCCAGTCCTCAATTCGCAACCACCTGCTTTTCTGTACATCTTTATTGTTCTGAATATTACGGTTAAACTATCTCCCCACCTCACCTTCCTTGTCTGTTTTGCAGAAACTGTCTCGATCGA